AAGAAGAAGAAGAAGAAGAAGAAGAAGAAGAAGAAGAAGAAGAAGAAGAAGAAGAAGAAGAAGAAGAAGAAGGAGAAGAAGAAGAAGTGGTGAATCTGTCTGGAGTTTCTTCTGTGTCTTTTATTCCCAAGTAGCTGACTAGAGACTGCAAATGTGAGGAGGGATTTCTCTAAGTAAAAAGTAGTATATTCCTGCCAGCAATCCATACCCCTAATCATCATTCAGATGATTAGCCACCTCAAGGCCACTCAGACTGAGAGGACAAAAGGCAGAGAAAATGAAAACAGGCACCTTCATTTGGGATTATAAACCAGGGTTTGTCCTTGTGCCATAGGACAGCATGACTTTTTGAGGAAATCTCTGTGGATGAAACATAAAAAAGAAGTCACCTGTGGAAGCTGACATTCTTGCTGGCTCATTGTGGGCAATTGTTAAAGGAACAAATATTATGTACCTAGGAAAACACTGTAGGAGTCCAGAGTATAGCCCTGTGGTTGAATGCATGGTTGGCATGAGTGAAATCCTGGGTTTTGATCCCAAGGGGGAAGGGGAAAATGTAGGCTGGATAAAAGAGATATAATATTCTAAACAATAGCATCTACTGCACCAAAGTTGCTGAGTGAGTGAGCTGAGACTCCCATTCTTCCCTCCCAGGAACTGTCCATTTTCTAGACCAACATGTTTCCCTGGTTTGTTCTTCGAATGGGAAGATTCTCCGGCATTCCACTAAAGTAGCTATCCTTGCTTAACATTGCTGACCAACCCAGAAACACCACAGAAGAGGGAAAGGGGTTCCTCTCGGAAACTCCTGGGAAGAGAAAGAAAGTGCCAATATGCAAACAAATTCTGAAACTCCAGGTTAAGGCAGAGAGGGAGAAAGACACCTGTCTCATTTAGAACACATTTTCCTTCCGGCCTTAGGCTCAGTGAGATCAGAACATTCCAGTGTTCCCTCCCTGCCGTGGGCAGGTGACAAACAATATCTCCAGCAAAGGAGAAAGTAAAGAAGCCTTCCTCAGACCTCACCTCATCGTTCCTCATTCCAAATGTCTTATAAGTCTTAGGAGCACTGAAAGAGTTGTCCTCAGCCAAGCACAACTTCCTGTTTCTAAGAATGGGAAGGGAAAAAAAAATAGTTGAAAGGATATTTGGACACTAGAGATTTCAAGTTTCTGTAAACTCGAGTGAATCAGACACATGTGGAATAAATTTCCCCGGAAATAAGAAATGATGCGCGTTCCTCTTGCTGGACCAGAAAGAGGAGAAAAGGGTGACAAAATGGAGGTACATCAGATTCTGAAAGGAGAGAGGAAAGTCACGTGGGTATTCGATCAAAGACAAGGTCCCAGTGATGACAAGGGTCAGCAATGCCCCTCCCAAGACCACTTCCTGACTTATGGATTACTCAGAGCTTCTCCACCTCTGAAGTCATAAATCCAAATATCCTGCTCCCTGACCACAACTTGCCATCTTTCCAGATCTTTTACTATACCACACATTTTTCTTCATCTTCATGGCTCCCAGGTCCCTGACCACCCCCATGTATGCACGTTGTTCATCTGCCTTTACTTCCATGTGCTGCATCCTTCCCTGGGTCATTTAAACTCCATGTTGGAGCACCTCAAAGGACATTGAACAACACCTCAACATCCTTGCCCCATTGGCTTTCTTCCCAATGCCCCAACCCCAGATTGGTGGATCCAGCCCGCCCTGAAGTTGCCAACTTCCCTTACCTACGTCCTTCTAATAAGCAAGAGGCCTGCCACAGATATATGCATAATCAGATTTATACCTACTCCAGATCATCAAGGGCCAACAAGAGCTTACCAGATCTGACTGAAACTCTAATGCTTTCCATGGCACAGGTTCTTCTCTCAGAACACCTGCTTTATTGACTTTCTCTTGTCCTCCTTGTGGAGGACAAGCTTAGAGGCCCACTCTGAACTCATCCTGCCCTATTCCTGCATTCATTGTAGAGTTAAGCAGAAGTGGGAAAATGACACTGCAGAGCACTATGTGCCACTAGAAAACTATGGTGTCCGCTGGAAACCATCTAGTGACCCAAGCAGACAGCTCTAGCTCTAGGTATCCAGGGAAATGATTTTGTAATTTCTCTACTATACACAAGTTCATGATGCTGCCACATTTCACTGTGTATCTCTTATCGCAGTAGACAGGAAGGGAACAAACATTGCCAACAGATCCAGCAGAGACAAACCTAGAAGAACATTACAATTCTACATTATCCTGGAATAAAGAAGCATATCACAATTTCTGTCGATCTTTGTAAATAATGAAGATGTAACAATGAACTCTACTTATCTTATCAGTTAATTATTCACCTCTTGGGAAGGACACCAATCAGTTCGCACACTCTCCCTCAGGTCCCAGTCTTTCTACCCCTTCATCAACCAACCGTCTGCTCTCC